ATAGCTTGGATTACAGTCTTAAGCAATATCTCTCTCCCAGCCTTTGAAAGAAATTTGTTATTCCAGCTTCGCACCCGATTAATAATCCTCTTTCAAGTAACTGAGTAGCTCCTTTTTATTCCTTCCAATTAAAGATGGTAAACCCAGATAAGAAGCATTGTTACCTTCCATCCTCACCCCAAGACAATCACTAACTGTCTTTCACCTCCCCTCATAAGATTTGGGCTAAATTTAATAGTAGACTTTTGGTAGTTCACCATTAGGGTTGTAAACGAATCGAATCGAACCGAATAGTGAGTAATATTATTCGTATTCGTATAAATTGACGAATATTCGTATTCGTATTCGGATATTATTCAAATCTGACAATAGATTCGTATTCGATTCGTTTATTGTATTTGAGTATATTCATATTCGAATATTCGAATATTCGAATTCCAATTCAAATATTTGAAGTGTAAAAAAAATTCACCTATACAAATTATGACTCATTTTAGGCATTTTTCGATTTTCACAAATGTCTATTAAAAGATTTTTTTCAAAAATTCAATTACTTCAAAACTCAATTGCTAAAGAAACACACACAAATAAAGTAAACAAAGTTAATTCAATTACTTAAACCTAGAATACGTATTACCTATTTTATATTTTAATTTTAAACAATTATATAAATTATAAATATAATAGAATATATATTTATAATTCGTAAATATACAATTCGAATATATTCGAATAACTTACGAATCGAATATATGTATATTCGTATTCGTATTCGAATTTTATTCGAATAATAAAATTGATTCGTATTCGAATTCGTATTCGAATATTTCGAATTCGAATCATCAATTTCGAATTCGAATCGCGAATCGGATCAAAATTATTCGATTCATTTACAACCCTATTCACCATCTGACAAGAGCATCTCTCGTACAGCTGTAAGATATTCTTAATAGTCTCACGTTCTCTTTCCCTGGCCTTGAAAAAGAGAAAGCTATCATCTGCAAAGAAAAGATGAGAAACTCGTGGAGCTCCACTCGCAACAGATTTTCCCAATAAATTGCCCATACTTTCCTGCTTCCTGATCAGAGCACTAAAACCTTCTGCGACCAAAATAAATAAGTAAGGAGACAGTGGATCTCCCTGACAGATACCTCTACTAGGAGCAATCAGGCTGATTACCTCGTCATCAAATGGTATAAATTATTCCACCGAATCCAAACACTCCCTAATTAAGCCAATCCATCTACCGTCAAACCCCATAGCTCGCATTATAGCCTCCACATAACCCCATTCTACCTGATCATATGCCTTGCTCATGTCAAGCTTTAAGGCGACAAATCCCTTTTTTCCTTGCATCTTTCTTTTTAAATAGTGTAAGGACTCAAAGGATATCATAATATTGTTAATGATAGACCTGCCCGGTACAAAAGCACTCTGATTTACAGTTACCAAATCATTGAGAATTTTTTTCAGTCTATTAGCCAAAACTTTGCTAAAAATTTTAAGCACGACATTGCATAAAGCTATTGGTCTCCAGTCCCCCATGCATTCAGGTTTATCTTTTTAGGAATAAGAATTAAATTGGTTTTATTTACCTCACGGGGGATACATCCTGTTTCCATTAAGTTTCTGACAAAACCTCTCCACATCCTCACTGATTCTCCCAATAGTGCAGAAAAAAGCTGGATTAAATTCGTCTGGCCCCAGAGCTTTATCCGGATGCATGTAAAAACGGCTCTCTTAACCTCAAGTGCAATAATTGGCCTCATCAGGTCTTGGTTCTGCTCGGGCTTTACCCTGGCCAGACCCACCATCGTATTTTCCTCCACGCGGGCACCCTGAGAAGTGAACAACTCTAAAAAAATAATCCTCAATCATGTGCCCAAGTTTGGTATGATCCGATTCCCACACTCCACTGGGGAGTTTTAGCCCCTTCAGTTTGTTTCTCCTACGCCTCTGTTTAACAACATTGTGAAAGAAATTTGTGTTCTTATCTCCTTCTTTAATTTAAGCCAAAAGGTTTTTGCGCGTTGCTTCCAATATATATTATGTCGTTCGAGGAGGTAGACAAGTGATTCCTTCACTCGATTAAATTCAGTCGCGTCCCATCTACCTCCCTCTGCCCTCAAGTCGGCCAAATGCCGTTTGCATACTTCAATTAGGGACTAGAAACCAACCCTCATGTTTTTGCTACATTGGTCAAGTTCCATTCCACAACCATTCTGACAATGCTAGATCTGCATTCCATAAGAGAAGAGTAGTCCCAAGCCCGCTGAATGACTTCACGATAGTCATTCTTGTGGAGCCACATATTTTCAAACTTAAAGCACCTCCTCCTCCTACAATTGCTCCCTTTTTGGGACGAATATATAGCACCAAGTGATCACAAGTAGGACCCTCTAAAGATATAGCCCAATTTCCTCCAAACAACGTCAGTCAATCCTGGTTAGCTAAGATCCGATCTAACTTTTTTTCGATCCATGTTGGGGTTCCCCTCCCACGTTCACACTAGGAGTGGCAGCGGGTCGGATTTATACCGGGTGAAGGCTCATCCACGTCTATGTCCACCCGTTAATTTTTCATATTCCACCCACCCGTCCATCATCCATTAAAAATTACATCCACATCCAACCCATCCACCATGAGCGGGTTATCGGGTGGATCGGATGAGTAACGGATGAATATAAATGCTCTAACTTGAAAACAAAATAAATAAATTATAAATAGAAATTTTGACAATTAAAAACCAAAAAATAAAAATTCGTTGAATAATAGCAAAATAACTTGAGGAATTAAGTATATTAAAATCATTAATTCACTGTCAATAAATTAAAGAAAGAAGTGACTGTCAAACAAAATAGACATAAAACTTTTTCAAGTTATCAAATTCTACATTTCCGCATCGACACAAAACTATTTTTGCAGTTCAACTATCACTTCTTGAAACTTTTCGATTGTCTTTATTTCACCGATTCACACACACACACACACACACACACACACACACACACACACACACACACATATATATATATATATATATATATATATATATATATATATGTGTGTGTGTGTGTGTGTGTGTGTCTTCTTCATTGAGTTATACATATCTATTACTCTATAATATATTACTACATCCGTCCCGGAATTATCTCCTTATTTGACTGGGCACGAGTTTTAAGATAGTGGGAAATGTGTGGTGGAGAGTTGTGCAGAGGAAAGATAAATGTGTAAGAATGGTTGAGAACCACAAATTCTTTACCAAAAAAGGAAAGAGGAGATAAATTTAGGACAGATCGAAAAGGAAAGAATGAAGATAATTTCGGGACAGAGGGAGTAATATTAATGATTACATATATTATTAAATAGATATATAATATAATATAATATAATATAATATAATATAATACGTAGTATATATTTAATTTTATACGCGGGTTAGCGGGTGGGTGGATGAAGCGGGTGACGGGTCGGGTGATGGATTGGATGAGTGTTCATCCACACCCGATCCAATCCTTCTTTCAATCCACCCGTCATCCATTTTTCATCCATATTTTTTCGGGTTTTCGTCCATACTTTCGGTTCGGGTTGACCGGATATCCGCGGGTGTGGGTGATATTGCCAGCCCTAGTTCACACGTCCATTGATAGCCATCAAAGGAGACATTTACAAGACCGCTGCTCCAAATTGCTTCACGGAAGCCCCTTAGTATTTAGTAACCATGGTTAATGTGGTGCACTGCTCTTACGTTCACTCTCAAATATAACATCATTGAAATCTCCCATCATCAGCCAGGGTTCATTTGGCACCCTAGCCAGGCTTCGGATCAACTCCCATGACTCGCGTCTCCGACTAAGTTCCAGATAACCGTAATAGCTGGTGTAACGCCATCACGGTTCATCATACCCCAATTTGACCGAACAATCAATTAAATTGTTCTCCATATTTTTGATTTCCACATCAACATGTTCTCTCCAGAATAGACAAAGACCACCGCTTAAGCCAACACTATCGACTAGCGCACAGCCATGAAAGCAAAGTTTTTTCCAAACTTCCTCACAATAAACAACATTTGATTTGGTTTCCATCAGGAATAGAATTTCTGGCCGCCTAGTTTGCACTAAATCGGCCAACACTTGGACAGCTACAAGATTCCCCAAATCCCTACAATTCCAACTCACTACTCCCATATTACCTAGTCAATTTGAGATCGAATCCGTTGCGCAGTGGTTCTTGGCCGTCGCACCCACACTGGTCGTAGATGAAGTTGTTTGAGAAAGATTCGTGAACAAACAGCATGCGATGAAAGCCTCTTGGATGTTATGCTTGAAAACTCTCGCACTGCACTCCCAGCCTAAGTCCCCGCTAGCAACGCCCTGGGACCAAACTCGCCGTGAAACCTCACTGTGCCGTCCGCAAAAAAAACCCCTAGACTAGGCTAGATCCACCGCCGCTGCTGATCGCTAAAATAGGTATTATATCTAGCTTCAATCTATAATGATTTTATATATGAATTTTTAGAGATTAATAGAATTTAATTAATTATACTACGTATTAAACATGTAAAACTTCTCCCATTAGGAGTGAATTACTCTTATTTTATTAAGAAAAAAGTCATAATAATTTGACACATTTTATCTACTCCATATGTTTTAATCTCATTTAAGGAACTTAAGTAGAAACATATACATTGAAAACATTTTTTTTAATTTGTCCAAAGCAAAAAAATGAAAAAACATACTAGGGCATTTTTTCTATGAATAGGTTAGTCACAGACAAAAAAACTCTCACAAATATGTGTAAAAGTGTATACAACAGTAAAATGTGTACGAGAAGAATTTGAAAGAAAAAAATTTAGAAACATTTGAAAAAGCTAGTACAATTGTACAACCAACAAAGTACAAACCTTTTTTTTTTGAAAGGAAGTACAAACCTTCTTAAATTCTAAAAATAATCAAAAGAAGCAACTGCATTTGTCATGTTGGCAGTGAGGAGGATGTGAAGAAAATGAATCCAAGGGCTATGATTGATCGCTATATTCAACCCCTACACCTACAAATGGTACCCGAAGACTTCTCCGCTCCGCTCCTTTTAAAAACCTCTAAACCAAATACACTCTCCGCTATTCCGTTTCCCCTCTACGGATCCTTTTCCGTTCACATTGCATTGCCACCATACCAGATCCTTCCTCATCGGAAATGGCGCGTGAAGAGAACGTCTACATGGCCAAGCTCGCCGAACAGGCCGAGCGGTACGAGGAAATGGTGGAGTTCATGGAGAAGGTCTCCTCCTCCCTCGGCGACTCCGAAGAGCTCACGGTGGAGGAGCGAAATCTCCTCTCCGTCGCGTATAAGAACGTCATTGGCGCGCGTCGTGCCTCCTGGCGAATCATCTCCTCCATCGAGCAGAAGGAGGAGTCCAGGGGGAACGAAGACCACGTCAACGCTATACGCGACTACAGATCTAAGATCGAGACTGAACTCTCTAAAATCTGTGACGGCATCCTGAAGCTTCTGGAGTCCAAACTCATCCCGTCCGCCTCCACCGGTGATTCCAAGGTCTTCTACCTCAAGATGAAGGGAGACTACCACCGCTACCTGGCTGAGTTCAAGACAAGCGCTGAGCGAAAGGAGGCCGCGGAAAGCACTCTCACGGCCTACAAATCTGCCCAGGTTTTTTTTTTAAATTTATTTCCGTCATTTTCCTCCTTTGCATAGATTGATTGGTCTGGATGATGATAATTGAACAAGAATGAGTCTTGTTGGCCCTGATTAATCTTTCCATGTGCTTCACGTTAAATTAAATGAACCTTTATGCGATATTAGTTAAACAGATTTGTTAATTGTTATAGAGCTAGATCAACAAACTCTTGTACTCTTTTATTTGAATTGATAATCATAGAAACATGATGGTTTAACTGTAACGCGTTTAAATTAGGATTTTTCCCTCTTCCTCTTATGGAGTTCTGTAGAGTAGGCTACTAGGGTTGTTGGTGCCTACTAGTATAAAGGAAACGGATGTAGCTCCTACGGTTCTACGAATCCCTAGGGAGATGCTCTTTGTCGTATTTTTCAATAGCATATTGACTTTTTATTTTATTTTATAATACTACGTAATAAAAAGAAAAACTATAATGTACTGAATAAGCTGGATTGCTTAACAGACTGTAATTAGGTTGTAATTGTTGTGTGTTTTGAAAGGCTTTGATTGTATAGTTATGGAGTACCTGTTAGGAAATTATTGAGTACCTGTTAGGTAATTATTGAGTCCAGTTAGGAATTTGGATAAGTGTTATGCAGTTTGTCTCAAATAGTATCTTGGACATAAGCACTCAAGCTGTGTCCTTTATGCATTATATTCTCATAAGTTTCACGTTTATGATGTATTTGAAGTTATTACATTCTATATTGAACTTGTGTTATACTGTTACTAGAATCTATTAAATCCAGTCACAAGTAGAATAGCAAATACAGCTTTTAAAGTTTCTCATTAGATACCAGACCAGACAATGGTTCAGGTATTGGATTGCTTTATAGAATATTGAGTACTGATTTATACCTTATATGGCTGTGTTTGTAGGACATCGCGAATGCAGAACTTGCACCAACACATCCTATCCGTCTCGGACTGGCTCTAAACTTCTCTGTGTTTTATTATGAGATTTTGAACTCCCCTGACCGTGCTTGTAGTCTTGCAAAACAGGTTACATATCTCTGGTTTGATTTGGAGTCATACATATGCCTTTTATTTAAATGGTGAATTCAGATTTCTATATCTTTTTCCATATTTGTTGTAGGCCTTTGATGAAGCCATTGCTGAGTTGGACACCCTGGGAGAGGAGTCATACAAGGATAGCACTTTGATCATGCAACTTCTTCGTGACAATCTCACTCTTTGGACATCTGATATGCAGGTACCCTTTGCATTCTTTTCAACTAATTCTCTTTCGAATGCTCCATTTGGGATCCATATATCATACTACGTAATTGGCTTTCCTTTCCGACTCGCCATTTGAGCCAAATACTCTCTGTTTTTACTATTTCATCCATGCTTAATTTTGCAAGGTTTATCTTTAAATAAATACCCCTATTTTTATGTTTTCTTTCCCTATATCTGATTTTGCTCCATCTCTAGTACATTTACAAACTCTACTTTTTTCGTCTTAAATCTTCATAAAAGCTTAGTAACAAATTAAAAATAATGTGGGGAGTATTGTTTACCGGGTTTCTCTGGGCTCTAAATCAATTTGTTGCATTAATCATTTGCTACTGATGTGCAGGATGATGGAACTGATGAGATCAAAGAGGCTCCAAAGAAAGAAGAAGAGCAACATTAAGGGCTGTTTCCTTCTTATAAGCCATATAAGCTTCTCCATGATTGTTTTAATTTGGGGAAGTTGTTTGCTGTTGTTTGCCCATGGCTTTTCCGTTTTAATGGGTTCTCCAAGTCCTTCATTAAACATGGACTGCTTAATTTAGTACTGATGATACTTCTATCGTTTGGTCTTAGAAGTTATTAATGTGATTGTGGAAGTTCTCTATTTGTTTACAGTTTTTTTGGAACAGTTTTGCTTGTTTCCTTGTTGGTTTGGTTGGTAATTCATGCCTGCCGTGTTATATGAAAGCTCACAAGTTGCGTTTACACATTCTGTTGTCACAGTTGCTCAGGAGTAATACGAGGCATTACACCTTTTGTTTTGCCGGAGAATATTGGTGGAAAATGGAGTCGAGGAACATTAGGACTGCGTTTGGTTTAGATGAATTGGCCGTTAGGTAATTTAAACCTAAATCGATGAATGTACAAATAATTTAAAATAGAGTTGGTCATGTAACTTCTTCGTGACAAACTGGGAATTATTTTAGGGGTTATTCCCTTAATATTACTAAATTGAACTGATTAGAAATCATGGCACACATATTACTCATTACCGACAAAAATATGATCATTTTTATAATAGGACAGAAAAGTGACCGAATTAGATTGAATAGACCAAGATGCCCTTAATTTCCTAGTCCTCTCTTTTTGCATCTCTTCGTCGCAGATTCGCAGCATTCTCTACGTCCGTTCTCAGTCCTCCGTTTGCATCGCTTCATTGCAGCTTCAGCCCTCCCGTCACACCTGTGTCGCCGTGTCGAAGCTTCTTCTTCCGTTCGCAATCGATCTCGTCGCATCTCCTTTCTTCTTCCGTTCGCAATCGATCCCATCTAGGGATGGACTCGGGCCGGGTGGCCCGACCCGGAACCGGCCCGGGACCAATATTGTTCCGGCTCAGCCTGACCCGGTGGCCAAGTCAGTGACCGGTCCGGGTAGGCCCGGCCCGTGGGTTTTCCGGTCCGGGCTTGGGTCACCCAAAACAAGGCCCGACCCGGCCGGGCCCGGGCCAGGTTCGGGCCAAAAACTATTTTTTTTTTCAATTTTTTTTAAATTTTCGGGTTGGGCTGGGTATTTTGGGTCATTTGGGGTGGTTTGGGGGGTTGGGGGTGGGAGGGGGGTTAATTAGGAAGAGGAAAACAAAAAAAATATATAATGGGCCCGGCCCGGCCCGGCCCGGACTGGACCCGGTGGTTACTCGGGCCGGTCCCGGGTCCACCATTTCTGACCCGCCGGCCCGCCCGGGCCTAGGCCCGACCCGGACCCGGCCCGGACCCGAGTCCATCCCTAATCCCATCGTGTCTCCTTTCTTCTCCCGTTTGCAATCGATCCCATCGATCTGGAGAGCAACGACCTTCGATCTGTTTCGACTCAGAGAGCGCCACCACCTATGGATCTGGAGCAGGAGAGCTTCGATTTGCTTCGATTCGGATAGCTCACGCTGATGCTCATCAATTTGGAGAGAAAACGACCTCCGATGATATCTGACAGCTAGGGTTTTGGTAGAGTTACATGGCCGAGATGAAGGGGCAGCATCTAGGGTTACTGGGGCGGTTGCTGGCAGAGGTTAGGACAGAGGGCGGCGGAAAAACTAGGGTTGGGGCTAAAGATGGAGGTTGGTGGCCAAGGGCTATGAGCTGGGGGCTGGTGGTTTGCTGGCATCGCTTACAACGGTGGCGGTGGTTTGAAGCGGTGTGGTGGAGGTGGCCATTGGACGGCAGCGGTGCTATCGGATGTCACTGTAAAAATCAGGCATCACTGTGGCGGCGTCACTGTGGCTGAAGGCCAGTGTCACTGTGACCGATCTCACTGGAGTATGGGTGGGGTAATTTAGTAAATTGAATGTTTATTAGACACATTTTTGGAAATTAAAGAAAATGATCACTTTTTTGTCCAATATTAATATTTTAGTACTCCCTCAATCCCAATTTGTAAGATGCATTTACTATTCACGTGGTCAACATAAATAACTCTAAATCTTTTACTTTACGTATCACATGTTTATGAAATTTGAATTATTTTTTGCAGGCTTTGTAGCGGTTCTAATGTAGTTTCTGAAGATATAAATTTTATTTTCTAAAACTAACTTGAGTGTTGACAGAGATCAATTTGCTTTATCATCGGTCAAACATCGTAAACCGTAAAGTGTCTTACAAATTTGGACGGTGGGAGTAATATTGAAATAAAAACCCCAACTGAATTTCCAAAAATGCGAGTCCTTTTTAAAAATTGACAAAAAAGCGATTAACAAAGTCATATATTTGGCATTGAAAAACATGATGTCACTACAAAAATTTTATATCACTATGTTAGTTTTGCTTGTCACTGAGAGTCGCCATTGCCAAAAAAATTCACGCCAATTCCACTGTCACTGCCACAGTGACATCGTCATAGTGACGTCGCCCGCCGAAAATTACTCAGGTCGTCGCCACCTCATCAATGTGACATGCCACCAACAACAACAGTACGTCCATCACGCTACCTAGTCCAAGTTGCCACCATCGCCATTGTGACACCGTCAGTCCGTCACAAAACCGCCAGCCAGCCAACGACACCCCCACACCCAGAATCACCATTTACTCAAAACACAACCCTGCCCCTACCTAGTCAACGCCCTAGCACCCCAACCCCAACACCCCCCATTCCCAGCCTCCGATCAGCCCAGATCTAACCCAAATCGGACTCAAACAACGCCCCAATCTAGCCCTGACCAGCCCCTCTACAAATGTTGCACCACACATACATTCCATCTTCAGCTCCAGCACACCTGCAATGGCGGCGGCAAAGCATGGATGGTGGTGACGAGACAAAGATGGATTATCGAAGGTGGCGATACGATGGCAATTGACGGTGATGGTGGCGAAGCGATGGAGAAGTCAATGGAGATAGATTTCGTGACGTGATGCAATGGATTTCGTGCTTCACCATTATCGCCCCTTTAATCTCATCCTAGCCCTTCTGAGATTGGAGATTTGGATCCCATTTGTGTTTTAGAGCTTGGGAACAACGATGATCAACAAAGAAAAGAGAAGAAGAAGTATACGACGGAGGCGTGCAGTGTAGCGGCGGTGGAGACGGCGAGCTTGGTGGCACATCGACGAGTCAACAAAAAGCAGTGGTGCAGAGGCGTGTAATGAGAGATTGTGTTGTCACGAGGTGATGGGAGACACTAGACAAGCAGACAGACGTGAGAAGGGCGAGAGAAATGACATGTGAATGATGTGATAGTGTAATTTTTTAATCACTTTTTTGTCCGGGTAGGAATCACTCATATTTTTGTCCATTGAATCTCTTATAGTAATATCTATGTCATTATTTCATTATTTTAATACCAACCAAAGGACTGACAATGAGATTATTTGTCTCACAAAATATAGGAAGTAGGAACGTAACACCCAAAATTGATGAAAGTAATTCATATTCTATCACCTGGAAAAGGATATATATATATGTACTTCTTCCATCCCGTTTCCTTGCATCTAACACATAACGGGTAGGTGATAAGTCAATTTTTGTACTTACTTTTCTTATAAAATTTAAGAGATTTTTGGATTGAAAATATAAAAACAAGGCATGTTTTATAAAATTTTGGTTCAAGTTTCTTGAAATCGGGTAAAAATCACATTCATAACATGTTTGGCGAAATTTCGGGTCAATTGTGTGAAGAAAGTGACATTTTTTGCCAACAAATGAATTGATACGTAAGTTTGTAAGATATACTGACAAATTGTTCAATGAGAAGAGTCCAAGAGAGGAAGAAATCATGCAAGGAAGCTCAAAAACCAAGAAGGGGTCGCCTATATGGCCACTTTTGATGAAAATGGACGATGCATAAAGACACATGTTCGTATTTTGACCATAACTTGGCGCATGATTGCCCAAAGTTTGTGATACCAGTTGCATTACATTGAAATCCTCATTATCTACAACTCTTATGAAGAAAATATAACCAAATAACAATCGTAGAATGGCCATATTGCTCAAACAAGTCAGACATTTGCAGTTGCGATGGAATGTGACACATGCTCACCGTTTTGGTCATATCTCATAAACTACAAATCCAGTGCATGTAATTCAAATTCCAGTAGTTAGCCAAGCAAGCGATCTACAAATTTTGTGAAGACAACTTTTCCATTTGACGTAAGGCAGTCGACAGGGTGGCCGCCTTTCTGGGCGCCTACGAGTTTTCGACAGTTTTAGTACACCACACTTTGCATAACGACAAAATGATGGAAGGCTGCCGACGTGGGACGGAGTGCAGCCTTCCTCCGTGGCCGCCTGCGGCGGGATGTGATGTTTGAGCTACCGGTCTCTGAGACAAGACGGGAGGCGGCCACGGAGGGCGGCCGCCCTCCCTGGCCGCCTGCGGCGAATTTGACGCGTACACGTAGCTTTGTCGGGGAAGTGACCGAAGGCTGCCGGCCATGCCCGGAGGGCGGCCGCCCTTCTGACCGCCTTCCACGAAAATCAGGCTATAAAATCCCTCTTCCATCCCCAACTCAAAACACATCATCTCACACCTAACTCAAATAAAAAAGGGTGTCTTCTTCCTCCTCAAAGCTCGGATTTCCACCATTGTTGGACCTTCAACTTCAATCTTTCATATCTTTCTCATTTTAGCTCCAATTTATAAGTTCTTTATATGAAAATTCATATTATCGTCGTGTAGATTCTGAATATGTTGTTTTTATTTTCTAAATTTTGGTGAAACATTCTCTGCATTAATTTTAAGAATTTCGTATTTTCAATATTTATTCAAGAAAAATAGTTCTTGTTGTTATATTAATCTCCTACTTAGATAAACTCAATACCTAGTATAAATGATGTTTATTTGTGACATAAACAAAAGTTTAGATGTTGGGAGTATTGACTTTAGTATTTTATTTTGTTGTTATGATTTATGATCATGTCTTATTTTATATGGAAAACGTTAAAACTAGTAATGAGTTGTTGTAGTTAATTTACTCTTGGGCATGAGTTGAATTAAAGAATATGGGTTGACCTTGTTTGACCGAAATTTAGGAGTTTAACTTATTTTATGGACTAGTTGTTTAAAATGAGTAATTTGATTACTTAATAGATTTGGTCATTTCATTAATTAAACTTTGGAAGATTATTTATAACTTGTCTATGAGATTATAAATAGTTTAAGCCAAACATATTGAGCACGTTAATGAAGCCTAGATATAAGATAAATTAATGGATATAATTTAATCTTTATCTCCCAAGGTCATTAGCGAGGGGCCCGGACACGAGCTACGGGCCCATCAAGTCAAGTAATAAGATAAGAAGAAAGAATGATGAATGAGGAAATTTTTTAGATTTGTGTTTTACAAGATATGAATATGTGTGTGAATATGCTATGTGTATGGAGTATTCTAGCTTATGTATCTAATTATGGCTAGCTAAGACTCCGTTATTTTAGTGGATGTAATGGTGACTTACTAAGCAAATTTTGCTTATGAGACTTCTGTTCTCTCGTGTTCTCATGTATAGGTAATGAATGAAGAATGGAAGCCTGAGAGAATGTTCGGGTCGGGTGGCAA